TGATTTTATCTTTATTGATTCTGATTTTATCTCCCATTTTTTTCTTGATGAATCTGGGTAAAAGTTTATCAATTTTGTTTATCTTTTCAAAGAACCACTTCTTAGTTTCTTTTCTTTTCTTTTTTTTCACTTTCTATTTCATTTATTTCTGTTCTGATTTTTATAATCTCTCTCCTTATAGTAACTTTGGACTATCTTCTTTTTCTAGTTCTATTGGTGTAAGGTTAGGTTGCTTATTTGAGATTTTTCTTGTTTCCTGGGGTAGGCATGTATTGCCATGAACTGTCCCCTTAGAACTGCTTTTTCTGTGTCCCACAGATTTCAGATTATTGGGGGTTTTTTCATTTTCATTTGTTTCCAGGTATTTTCTTTCTTTATCTATTTATTTATTGAAGTATAGTCAGTTTACAATGTGTCAATGTTTGGTGTACAGCATAATGTTTCAGTCGTACATATATTACTTTACATATTTTTTCATTATAGGTTACTACAATATATTGAATATAGTCCCCTGTTCTGTTTCCAGGTATTTTTTAAATTTCCCCTTTGATTTCTTCAGTGGTTGTTTAGTAGCATATTGTTTATTTAGCCTCCATGCACTTGTGTTTTTCGAAGTTTTTTTTCTTGTAGTTGATTATAGAGTCATAGCTTTGCAGTCAGAAAAGATGCTTTATATGATTCTTAAGTTTACTGAGATTTGTTTTCTGGCCTAGCATATGATCTATGCTCCATGTATTTGAAAAGAATGTTTCTGCTGCTAGTTTTGGACTGAATGTTTATACACACACACACACACACACACATATATGTGTATATATATATATTTTTAATAAATATATATTTATTCCATTGGTCTAATGTATTATTTAAGGTCTGTGTTTCCTTATTGATTTTCTCTGTGGATTATCTGTCCATTGATTTAAGTGGGCTGTTAAAGTCCCCTACTGTTATTTTGTTAATGTCAGTTTCTTCCTTTATGCCTGTTAATGTTTGGTTTATGTATTTAGATGGCCCTATGTTGGGTGCATATACATTTATAATTGGTATATCTTCTTGGATTGATCCATTGACCATTATATAACATCCTTCTTACAGCCTAGTTTTTATGTGTTATTTAACTTCTTTATATCCTGTGCTCTCATAATACCAGTTCATATGCCACCACTGCATATAAACATCTCCATTATTTCCATATGTTCTGCTTGTCCCCACTTAGAACATTGTTTCCTGTTGCTCTTCCAAACTCTTTAAACACCAACTCCATTATGAAGATTACTTTCAGGTAAAATAAATAAATATACAGGACCCAAAACACTACTTAAGATACAGTACTTAAGAAACTATAGCATAATTATTAGTATAATTGCTGTCACAATTAAAAGATTGTAAACTAATGAGGCCCTTGTATAATTTCAGTGTTTAGCACAGAGCCTAAAACAAGGCCGGTACATAACAAATTATTTTTGAAAAAAATAGTGTATCTGTGATTATTATCCACTTCTACTCACCAAACTAACATACTTTAAACCAAGACATGTCCCATTATCTTATCATGTACTGCCTTAAGGCCAACTTTAAGCCCAACATGACAAAGACACAGGACTTTCAAGAACTATTCAATCCTACTGGCGAGAAGTGGTTGATTAATACATTTAACAATTCAAAGCTAAATGTGTCCATTCTTGAAATAACTGTGTCCATTTAATGACAAATAATGAATCTAAAACATGGGGAAAAATCTAGGTAATATTCCACTTAACTGCAACCACACCAATAACTTTTCCCAACTTTTTATTTAGTTTACAGGTTTTCTATTTAGTTTATAGGTTTTAGTTTCATTTTTTTCCTTCACCATACAAATACATTATATCTCTATGACATTTCACTACACATTTGTTGATATGCCAATCTCTAAGCTATTTTATCACAAACAGAATAAATTTTCCATATCTTTATTAGATTTTTGAAGGTATGCCTATTGTTTCAATGTTTTAGCTTCTGAGAAATGACCCTTGAATACAGGATGAGTGGTTTTAATTTCACCTGGGAAAAGGGTAAGAAGAAAATGGTCTCTCCAAATCCCAGCTTTTAGATTTATAAATCAGTATCACCCTTGCTGGTGCTTCTGAATTATAAAAGAGAAGCACAATTCTCTCTACAACAATAACTGGTAAACACAATCATAAATATTCCTCTACATCTTCATTCACAGTCTATTGGCTTGGCTACTATTACTAGTAACACTTCTCATATCAATTATTACAGTACTATTTTGGCTACATTTAAAACACCACATGACCAATGAACAACAGAACCAGGGAAATATGCCATTGATGTTATTTCACTATTCCTACAAACACCAAAAACTGAGGTCAAATGGAGAACTGGGTATCAATGAGAATAATTTGTGACAAAACAGCATGAAGTCCCAATTCAGCCTCAGCATTCAACAAGAGACTGAGACCCTTGGGAGAGAATTAGCACTCTTTTCTGTTCTTTTTTTCATTCTGGCATCTAGAAATTTTATTGCATTTTATTTCATGAGAGATCCATGAAAATGGATCTTATTTTTTTACCAGGATTGTGGGTTCCTCTAAGATCAGGTTCTTGGAATGCACTGCAGCTAATTCAAAGAGAATGGGGTGGGGGCGGATTTTGTAAGGAAGAAAAGTCAAGCAACTCCACTTCAGAGAGTGAGCAGAGTATCCTGGAGCCTAAGGAAAACTAATCATCATGGGAAAGTCTATTGTGACTGAGAAAAGAATTTTCAAAATCAATGCTATTGAAATCCCCTCTCCCTCCAAAATCTAACATAATAATTTAAAAAAACAAGGAACAAAAAAGCCAATCTTCACAAAAAAACTGCAATGCAAAAAAAGTCACCAGTTTTGACATTTGTTACTGCATTAGCAAAAAGTTAGAATACTTAAATTCTGCCTCTTTAATGGGGCAAACACTCTCATTGGCCCCTTATAATTGTAATTCAATTGTTCCCACTTATCTGACTTGAACTAAGAAGAAATTTTCATTTTGCCAGACTTGTCAAGGTATAGCCATAAATGATAACAGTTACAAAATGAAAGCTTTTATAAGAAAGGGAAGTAATGGCTGAATAATCTTTCTGGCTCACTTCCACACAAAAGCAAAATCAAACCTTTGTTAATGATTACAAAGATAAGTAGTAAGCTATACTATACCTTTAATTCAATGTGACTGCTATATTTTCCAATGCAGCAATAGTTTGACTACTGTATTCAAATTTGTACAAGCGTATGGGACTGTGTTATACATTCATATATTTACATATTGTCCCCAAATCTCAGTGCCCCCTGAGAACTGGGTTATCAGGCTTAGGTTTTCTAAGGACATTCTGTTTCCACATGAACCAAGCTATTAATCTGGAAGTTTTCCTTGGCCTAAGATTTCCTCCTCTTCTTGAGGTGCTTGAAGTATATTGTACCGGGCTTAATAGGCTGCTAATTCTGCGCTTAACACCCCTCCTCTATTTGACATCCCTCTACACGTAGCATACGATTGCCAACTCTAGAACACCATCCCCCCAGTTTCCTCCTAATTACAATCTTCCTGCCCAGCATGTTCTAATAAGAAAGATGGAAAGATTCAGATTGAAGAAACTTCAGAAATAGGTGAGCCATTAGAAAAGCTATTTTTAATAAAGAAACTTTAGGAAGATGAAAATGTCAATAAAAGATAAAACGTTGAAGCAGAAACTAGATCATAACATATCAATTCTACAGAATCATATACACGTCGACCCCTGAAAACCCTAGTACTGCAGACAACAGTAAAAGAAAAGAAGGAGAAGGTGGAACAGAAAGATCACCAAGATCTGAAAAGATAATCTGAAGCTCTTTAATCTAAATTCTGTTCTTCCAAATTCAGAGGAGTAAGTATAGTCATGTTCTATCCCAGAAGAGAAAGTGTGTAAATCATCACTTTCCAAAAGTGACATTAGAGAAGGAAGGAAATTTAACTATTATTTTAAAATAACTTCAGTCCTATAAACATGACACTGAACTTCAATTGTTGAAGCAAATGTTAAGGAGTCAGTACAGATGACCCCCTTTATGAGTCATGTGGTGAATCATCCAAGGCTATGGTCATGGCGTGTGGAACAATGAGAGGCCACATCACAAAAAAAGGCACTGGTATGAAACGCTTTATAGGATAAAGTGGATGTATTTTCATGACAAGAGAGCTTACACCTTGTCTTCTTAACCAAGCCCTACAGTATAGAGAATGTACGTGCACACTCAAGGAAAGAACTCTCACCTCGACCACTTCTACAGCGGGCACTGCTGGGCTCTCCAATGTGCCTGCAACAGGCCATACATTTTTCTAGGGTGGAAGCACTATTGCACACTCTCGGCTTTTCAATCAATTGACTTAAATGAATCTGGGCCAGTTTTTCAGTCTTCATGTTATCACTACCCTAAACTCTGAAACAAATGAATTGTGCATGCCTAATAGCGAATCTACAATGGAAGAAGTTTTTTTTTTTTTTCCCTTCCACCTCTTCCTCCTCCTCCTTCTTTTCATAATATTTAAGCTCTGGCAATAAAACAATGGATCCTTGACATCTGGAAGTGATATATCTGTATAAATCTCCACATTAACAAATTCACACAAAAAACTCTTACAGAAAAAAAAAATGCTACTAATTCATTGCCAACTGACTCACTCCAGCATGCCAGCCCCTTAGCATGTAGCATTCATCTCTGCTACAGATTTTAGGTATATTTTCTCATTTAATTTTCACAACGATCCTTTGAGGTTGATGGTATTATTATTACTTGTATTTTTAACTATTCCAAATTACTGCAAGTAGCAGAACTAAGAATGGTTTGCAAATAGCCTATATAATATTAAATTGTGAAAGCTGAGGGTCCATTATATCAAGAAGAATATGAGGAGATGGTGTTGGAGTCAATTTCCTTTCCAATCAAGAGCAGAATCTGCCCCCGGAACTGACTGCCTACCTTCCTTGGGCCTCTGTGCCGTGGATGCTGGTGTGCTCTGGGCACAATACACCTCCCGGGTCTGGATCCCACCTCCACAAACGGGTCCCGTCACATGCCAGTGGGGGTCCTGCTGCTCGAGGAGGAGAGAGACTTGGCATTCTTTCCATTCAGAGGTCCTCCAGGAATACCTGTTCGGTTTGATTTATTTAAAAGAAGAAGAAGAAGTAAGGAAAATATAAAATTCCAAAGGAGACTTAAGTCATGACATCAAATGTGCATAATAATCTCTCTAGGACCAAATTCTGCCTACGGATAAAGAAGTTTACCAGCTTTGAATACTAAACCCCTTTTATTTCCTGGAGAAAAATCACAGCAGCCTATCATGCTAATAGTACAGGACAAGAGGAATGAAGAAAGGAAATATGGATAAATGGTAGATATGTCTCAGCCTTAAAGCTGTAAGAGAATAAAAAATTAAAAAAAAATTAGAGGAAAGAGTTGGAAACTAAATGAGCCTATTCGTAACAGGCGAACTTGTCATGGGGTTTCATTTCACGAACCTCTAAATGAATTTGTGTGAAAGTTGGCCTTTCTTTTCTAATTAGGACAGTGTATGAATGTGTGAATATATTATTTTAAGTGAACAGAGATTACCTCTAACTGACCAATCTTCTTGATATAGGAAAGAATGTCTATCTGTTTGGCCCCACTGGGATAAAGGTATACATATTAAAAGTGAGTTCACAATGTGCCACTATATTTAATTGATGGGGTTTTTTTTTTTACATATACAGACATGCTATTATTATAGGAAGGAATATATCCTCCTGGTTTATGATGGGTTGAGATCTACACTAATAGACACACACACACTTCCATACAAATAAGAGGAGAAAACACAATGAAGTTTGTACACAACTCACAGAAAACAAAACAACCATAATAACTTTGCACTCATAGCTGGAGGATTATTGCAGACAGAGTTTCCTTTTGTGGTTTATTACAGCATTCCTGAAGCTCACAGCATTAATATAACCCTACAGCATTCACATAAATACCAATAGACATTAACTTCTGGAACAATGAACTAAATCTAAGAACATTCTTATATCTGCTGTCCCATTTCAGATTAAAGAAAAAAAGTTTTTCAGTTCTATGATTATTAAAAAAAAAAACTGCAGCAATAAAAATAAACATCAGTCACCAGGGCCCAGGCCTTATAGAAACTAGAGTAAAATTGTCAGCAAAGCCCCTCACAATGAGCGCCATCATTCTAGAAAGCTTGAAAGCTGAGGATCACTTGTCTTGTGGAAAGCCCACTGTGGAAAAAGGATCTGGACAATCCTGCGGGGTTTGCGGTAACAAGATTCTTCTCCCTCTGCCTCACTACTTCATCTTCACAGGGTTTTCCAAGGGAACATCAGTCAGGGGGCTGGACAAGGGTCTGAAGTACAGAATTCAAGTCCTGCTCCTGCAGGTAAATACAGACAATAACATGTGTCTAATTCTTGGGCATGGGAGACCGAGAAAAGGCCAGGTCTTCCCAGAGATGGTCCTTCTCCAGAGGTGATGCTCTGAAGCCCTTTCTTCTCCTTCAGATGGAGCTGCCACCCTTGGCTCTGTGGTCACTCAGGTAGAAGGGTCATCTCCCGTGTCTCTGAGTCCCAGGGCTCAGGAAGCTCTGGATTCTGGGGCAAGGCACAGTCGGGCAGGGGTGGGTTGGATGGATGGTGATCACATTCTCATTTCAAATCTCTTGCACCAAAGATCTCCTAAAAGAACTCTCTGGCTATTAACGAGGTCAGATACAGTCCTGACTCTGAGGTTCCTATGATGAAGTTAGCAAAAAAGATCAGCAAAAGGGGGCAGTGTGATGTAGACAACAAGCATGCATTAGAGTCAAACCGGCCTGATTTGAATCTGAGCCTTGCCACTTACTAGTCATGTGACTTTGGCTGATTTCTGTCTTTCCATCTGTAAAACAGGGATAATAATACCAAATGTGGATCCTAGCATATAACAAGTGTTCGATAAAGGTTAGTTCTCTTTTCACTTAGATCTTTTTACACCTGCCTTTCACCCACTGCTGACACCAAAAACACACACACAAACACACACACACAAAACTAACACTGTCTTTATGAGAATTTAATTAATTTCATCAAAAGTCCTAGCATTAGAGATCCAGGAATGCTGTGGTCTAACTTGCGGTAACCAAACTGCAGCAAAGAGCATAAAAGAAACTTAGAGAGTTTAGAATCATAGCAAGTCCCAAATAATCTGTTTGCAGTGTAATTTGTTTGAAAGGAATGGGCCATGCTGTATGAATTACTTTTTCAATTAATTTATCATGACCCTATAAGAATTAGCAGTGGAGGAATTTTGGAAGTCATTATGGAGAAAAATGAAAAGGAAAGTTTAATGACTCTGGTTTTATATAAAGTAACAAAAACCCTGTTGGTGTCTCATTAACCAAAAGCACCCAAATTCCATTCACCGGCAAACTACAAATTCTCTAGAGACACAGAAGACATTTGTCACTATTGCTGTTTATTTAGTACCTCAGAGAAAACAGCAGCGTAGCAAGCGGCAGAGGAAAAGCACACCAGGGCAGGACTTCTATATTCCTTTTTTAAATGCGGGTCTTTTCATGGTCTTTCCCTTTTATTTTTTTTCAAACGAGCTATCTATGTTTAGTCACAAATCACCCAGCAGCCATGAAAACTGAACAGCCTGAATTCCCGTAACTCGGGAAAGTGTCTCCGGGATCTGACAGAGTAAGAAATCAAAGGAGCCTGCTCAGCTGAACGGTACAGGCTACCCCCTTTAGAAGTCGTTACCGGGAGAGTCCTCCAGCCTCCAGACAGCCTGGCTTCCTGACTGCCAGGGACATCTTCAGTGACGAACTCAGAATCGAAGACCAGGCCTTTCCCCCTTAGCTCTCCCAATTCTGATGCCCCTCAACACAGCCTCATTTGTCCTTCTGCTTAGGAGGCAAACGGAGGGGTCTCAAAGGCCAGCGTCTTGCCCCCAAGGGTGAGCAGGACTTTGAAATCAACTGTGGAAACGCTGCAGTGGAGGAGATTTCTATGCCATGAAAGCAATCAGTCCACGCCCATAGCCCCTTATGACCGTGACCACAGGATCCACTTGTTTTGTCAAATGGTCGGGCTGAACAGGATAGACAAGGCATTAATTTACTTGGGCTTCTAGGGCATCGTGACAAATGCCCGAGCAATAACAATAATGAACAAAACCTTCTGCGTGCTGACTCTGTGCCAGGCACCGCGCTACCAGATCTGGGTGCATGACTTCATGCAGTCCTCCCCGCAAGCCTCTGAGGAAAACTTCACTTCCCCTCTCACAGACGGGAGAACTGGCAGGAAGAGTCAGCACTCTTCCAGCGCCACATAATCAAGGAAGCGGGAGAGCAGGGTTCAGAGTCAGGTGTGTCTGACTCAAAAGCACATCTTCTTAATGAAATGATACTCTGGTAGTCTCAGTGAATGGCAGGCTCATGAAACGTGGTCCAGGGATACAGAAAGCAAGTTCAGTAGAGGGTGGGCAGCTGTCTAGCCATTATGAGGACAAGTTAATGCTGGTCTTGGTCTCAGGAAGTGCTTTCTGAACTGAAGCAAAAAAAATAAAAAGGAAAAACAATGAAAAATCCTTGGTTGGTGACAATGATACTGTCACTGACAAGTGACCCATAATATTTCACACTGCCAAAATAATTCTCCTTCCAGTCTCAAGCGCAAATACAGTTTGAGAATATCTTACAGTCTCTCATTTTATGATTCAAACACTGTGGTCACATAGGGTCAAACTTTAGCACTTTCAGGAGATATTTACAAGTTAAAAAGAGAAACAAAATATAAGCTAAATAAAGGAATCTCTAATTGTAAAAATTCAAATTTCCACTAAACGGTACAACGACAGTTTTTTGAAGAGTAATGCCTTTTCAAGGCCCTTAAATCAAATTCCCATGTTGTTCCCTGGTCATTGTGAATGTGAGGTACACCTGCTATCATGCATCCAGGTGAAAATGACTCCAATGTCCCTACTATTAGTGAGAGGCCCCACTGTCAGACACTCCGGAACCCCGGACCTCTGACAAGGGAAATGCTTAAAACTCACATACTAAATGCACAGGAGACATGACTTGCACAAGAATATTTCAGCTAATATAAAGATACTGATGACAGACTGATGACAGAAAGGAAATCCGCAGGCAAAGAAACAGGCTGGACCAATATTAAGCAAATCACTTATTCAATCATACCTTTATTCCTCCTTTCTTTCAAGAAGTAACTCTTGAGCTGCAACTATGTGCGAGCCACGATTCCAGACAACAGAAATGCATAGCAGTGAGCAGGACAAAGCCCCTGACCTTGGGAAAATGGCCTTCTAGCAGGGCACAGACAGAAATGAACCAATATGTAACTTGGCATCAGATAACGCGTCCATCAAAGAGAGATGGACAAGGAGAGCTGTTTCAGCACCATGACCAGGTAAGTCCTCAGAAGCCTGACTAAAATGAAGGAGCGAGCACAAGAAGAGGTGGGCAAGGAGCGCGCTGGGCAGAGAGGAGCATGTTCAAAGGCCCCAGAGAAGGAGAGTATTGCGTACTTTCCAGGACAGCACAGAAGCCAGTGTGGTTGGGCACGCGGGTCACGACAGGAGGCAGATGGAGTGAGGGGCTGTCAGAGGCCAGGCCACAGAGAGCCTTGTAGGCTGGGGAAGGACTGTGAGTGTCATTCCAAATGTGCCAGGAAATTATTGCAAAGTTTTGAGGAGAGCAGTAATATCATGATGCGATTGAAATTTTTAAAGAATCCCCCTGGCCCCTGGGTGAAGAATAGACTATGGGGGAGTGGATTAAGAGAGAAGAATCTGGAGGCCTTTGACAGTCCAGGAAAGATGATGGTGGCTTCAACTGAGGCAGTCACAGTGAATGTGATGAGAAGTGATGAGATTCTGGATATACTGTGAAGGTGGGGAGGACCTTCTGTTCGAGCAGGCAGATAGCTAGAAATGAACAGAGAAAGAGGGGCACTGGCCAAAAGGCAGGAAGCCACACATCCATACGTGTATATATGCATGTGAACAACGGGGTTCCTTAGGCAGAGAAGAGCAGAAACCTCAGGACTGATAAGAAATCACACATTTAAGGGTGATAAGTATCCTG